AGAATTCAGGAGCCTACAGGGAAGAGAGAAGTTGGTCAAGACAAAGCTGTTGGTCATAGTGGTGGTTGGTGCTGTTGACTCAATTCCTCCTAACTACGCGGTGCACAACAGGATGAAACACCGCCTGGTCCCGCGGCACCCTTACAATTGCTGCTATGTTGAGCCCATTGTTGCAGTCATTGTACCAATCCGCCACTTTTAAGGGTTTTCTCTTTTTCACTGACCCTCAATTTTATCAATCATCACATCCTTTGCAGGGACTGATCTTTACAAAGTGTGTGATATGAAGTCTAGCCATCTACACACACGTCTAAGGAGCAGTCTGGTTGTATTTCCTCCAAGACAGGTTTGGTTGTTCTTCTGTCTGTCCTTGACCCTTTCAATATTCATCACCACAGTAATCCAAATACATCAACTCTTCTTTGGCGTCCTTCATTCACCATTCAGCTTTCGCGTGCAATGTGAGTGCTTGAAAATACCATGGCTGAGGGCAGGCACACGTTAGTCCTCAGCATGACACTTTAAACAGGTCTTGTGAAGATTTGCCCAATAAAATGTGTTGCTTGAATCCTTGAGGGCTGCTTCTATGGACATTAGTTGTAGTGGCATAGCTTCCAGCATCACAGCGACATGCAAGCCACCACCAAAGCGACAGGTGACTGAGGCGATGGAAAGCAGAGGTCAGGAGAATGAGGCGATGTGAACACTTGGTCTGTGACCTCCAGCTTTCCTATTTCAAGGTCCTTCCGGCCTTCATTTGGACTTCCTCGAGCATTCGATCGATCTTTTCATATCTGTGCATTGTGCCCTCTTTATCTGGGTCGATATGCTCTGGAAGTAGAAACGTGTGCAAAAACACCCCAGGGCCCTATTCATTGGAGATTTCAGGATAACGAGACCCATCAAGCAGGTGTCCACCTTCTCTGACAGTTAAATGTGAACTTACCAACTGGTGTGAGGTGCTGGGAAGGAGACCCGAGGCTCTGTGAGAATACCATCTCCTGACCTGAAGATGTATTTCAGCTGAGTTAAAGGCTAATATGAGGACACTGGAGGGGAAAAAAAGGAGGCACAGTATATGCAAAGGCGCTGTTTTGTGAGCCAAAGCTCCGAGGTTCTGTGCTGTCCTTACATAAGGGGCTAGTAGCTGTTTTACATGTCTTGCCCAAACTTGCCGGTGGTCTTTCCAGAAGTCACCATAGCATTCTTCTTTGATTGAAAAAAATACATTGTGAATTAGGTAGTGCCTCACAGAACATATCACCAGTTTTACGCTCAATGAGTCATGCACAGGCTTCTACTCACTCATCGCAAGCTCCTCGGTGAACCCTCCTCTCTCCCACTTCCTCCTGTGCTTCCTCCTTCTTCCCTAACCCTCCAAGCTGCATCCGTGGGTACGTGCTGCACAGCTGACCTGCAATGGTTGGTCATTCTAGCACAGGAGTGGGTTCCGTTCCCAACCACACGGTACTTGAGGATGCCACCAGTCTCTCTGACCAAGGAGCCTCATCTCTTTCATGATTTTGAGTTTGTTCCACGTTTTTATCCCACTTTATTCAGGACGTTCTAATGTAATCCTTTTCAGAGAAGTTGGTGGTGGTAGCTGGGCATCTTCTAGTTCTTTCTGTCCAGGCTCATGGAGACTGGTATTTGCCTGGCTCATTATTACATCAGACTAATTGTTTCCATATATATTTCTATTTTCATCACTCCTTTTTCCTCTGGACCTGGAAAGGCAATTTTTGTACCTTCGATGGCTGTTCATAGTTTTTAAGATCCCCATCATGACCCGATAGAAAGTTGTCTATGTGAACTATGTTGTGCCAATTGACTGTGGTATCCCTGGAGACTATGACCCTGATCCCCCAAGCCCAATGGCTTATTCCCTCAAAGGATACGACTATGTTTTAAAAATATTCATAAGTTGGCCTTATATATGCGCTGCCCCATTCATTTGCAGCAAAATCTATCCCTATCAGTGGGTATACTCTCAGTCTCCCTTCCGTGCCTGTTCAGTCTGTATGCCTAGCTAAGTATCTTCTCGTTCCTCAGCACTATTGTCGGATTGTAGATGCAAAAATAGTTCCCTCTGTTGCCTTAACTCTTGCAACTCCCCTAATGTCTTACCTACACTGTCTTTATCATTTTTTGTCATCTTGTTGAATATTATCTTCCCCTTCACTCAAATTAATACCTGTCTACCCTCAGGAGTTTTATTGGCAGTAGCAAGATGGCAGGGGTCCCCTGTGAATTCGACAGCCAGGTCCAGTTCCTGTAGTGAACACAGGGGGTGCTCTATGCATAGAACAGTGCCTTGCATCCAGATTGCCCTGAGCCAGGACCCCATCAGGGAATGAGGTCCCTGCCTGTACCCACACCAGGTAGGCACCTGACGTTCTTCCAGTCGATGACCATGTGTCCTAAACTCTCTGACCCAAACCAGAGCTGTTAAGGCTTCCCATATTCTAAAATGATCTGGAGACCAGAAGTCACTTGTTTCTGGGGATGGACAAACAAGTTTTCATGTGAATTTATAGTAACATCTTGGTGCATCCATACCCTGGCTCTAGATCAGAATATTCTAACTGGAGATTAAGGCAGGAAGTCTGGGGAAAGAAGTCTTCGCTCTCAAAACCAGGGAATGTTGCCCTAAGTCTTCCAACATCCCTACACAACCCACTTACCAAAGGGTTCTAAGTGCCTCTGAGCTGGTGTCCTGACAGCTCATTGTAACACCTTGCTACAAGTGTGACCCAAGGACCAGAACCATTTGTTTGTTAGAATCTAGATTCCCAGGATTCACCTCAACCTTGCTGAATCACCACCCAGCCTATGATTCATAAACATATTAATTAAGGTTTGAGGAGCATGGATGCTGAAGATTTGGGACTCCCACACATTGGCATTCAAACTTTAGCTCCAGTAGCCAAGTGGCTTAGAGGGCATTCTCAATTTTTTTGTGAGCTTCAATACTCTCATTTATAAATTAACATTAATGAAACCCTCCTCACAGATTAGAATGGCTTGAAATCAAAGGCTAACATATTTGGAAATTAAGCATAGATTTGGGATTAAGATAAAGTTTAAATTCCAGCATGCTCTACCATGTTACTAACTACCTCTAAGCCTCAGTTTTCCCTATCTGTAAGTGGAAATTATAATATCACTCACCTCATAAATTTGTTGTGACTATAGTTATGCAGCTATATAAAGTGTCTGATGATAGTGATGTTTGTAAAATTCTTCATACCATCAAGTGGATCCTGACCATAGTGACCCTAGCTTGCCTCATCTTTTTTACAAGAAGTGACTGATGGATTTGAGCTTCTGACTTCGTACTTAGCCATCCAACGCTTACCCAAGGGCTCCTTTGTGCTTATTAAAATGTTTGTTTCCTTCCCCCATAGCTATTAACCCATCTTTAATCACTTATTCTTGAGACAGGAACACATATTTATCAGACGACACTCCAATGAAACCTAAATCCAGACATAGATTTTTTTAATGACTTTGGATTTTACATGAAAAATCTTGTAGATATATAACATCCAATGTAATTTAAATATGAATGTGGGTGATAACATTTATTGAAATAATTCAGTTAACAGATATAAGATTGTTCCATAAGACTGAAAATGTATGATCACCATGCTATAAACATAAAAATATTATATAATAACTCACCTTCTGAATATATCTTTGCATACAAATTCAGCTCTCATTCATCCCATTTTTAAATACCATTTTGTCTCAAGGAAACCACATTAACACCTCCAAGACACTAGGGCTTTGGGATGAGCACACTACTTGGACGTGTTAAGCACCTTTGTGTTTCCATTAAGATCCAATCATGGTCAAGCATGTTTTTGTTGTACTCAAAAACTCATGTATTTGTTGTACTGTGTTTTAGGAACCAGTTCTTTTAGGCATAGGTTTGCTATGGTCTCAGTTTATAGATTACAGAGACCGACCCAGGCACAAAATGCCATTGGCTTATCATTGGGTAGTTCAATGTGAGTTTCTAGTGAAGTCCTGTACTTTAAGATGAACCTGGAATCACTCCCTAGGAACAAGCAGGTCGCAAACTTTGAGGGATACTGAAAAAAACAAAGCCAGATTAATCTGGGTCCTGCTTGGAGAAGGAAAGCATTATTTACGGGATGTAATGGTGGCACCCCAAGGCAGGAGTCCCTGATGCTGGCCCCCTCTAGGACTGTTCTGACACTGGATTACAGACTTTTCACATGAGCTCGCTTCCCTCTGTGCTGTCTCTGGGCCTTTCCAATGCCTTCTTCAGAAAATTGTACTCTGTAAGGAAACCAGGCTTCCCTTATTTTGTTTTTTGGTTATTTGTCCCACTTTTCTCTTTCAGAAGACCGCTGCCAAGGTGACAAGTCAATGTTCTGTAGGATGGAAGTCTTATCTCGCTACTGCACCATCCCAGGCTACAACAAGCTCTGCTGCAAGTCCTGTAACCTGTACAACATCAGCAACCTGGATAATAGGACAGAGCCACCTCTTGGGAAGAACAATGCCATTGAAGAGCTCATGCCCACCCTTCCAGTGCCAACACTAGGCATGGAGGTTCAGTCTTCAACCAGCGCACCCCTTGAGGCCCCACTCAACGTCTCCAGGACCAATGCCACTGAGGATCGCCCAGAGACCAATGCTGTAGATGTACCTTACAAAATCCATGGCCTGGATGAAGAAGTCCAGCCACCCAACTTAATCCCTCGACGACCGAGCCCCTATGAAAAGACAAGAAACCAAAGAATCCAGGAGCTCATTGATGAGATGCGGAAGAAAGAGAAGCTCGGAAAGTTCTAATAAAATGGAAAGATAGCATCAATAGCATTTTTTTCTTGCTTATAGAAATATTCCATGTGATAGAAAATCCTGTGTCATGAAGATAAAGTTCAAATTCTTGATTCCAAGAGATTTTGAGGAATCAAAAATGGGGACGAAATCAAAATAATGTGTGAGCATGTGCAAATGGGCTAGCACGTGTCTTTCTCAACCATAAATGGTCTAAATCCTGTATTGCCAACCCCAAGAGGGTTCTGAGTGTTGGGTGGAGAGGAACAGAGGTTCCTCAATTTCTAGCAGTGAGGAAATAGCAAAAGGATAACTCTGAGACATAAAGCATTACATTTCCGATCAGTGCTTGGGAAGTCATCCTTTCCTTGGCAATGACAATCCTGGAGGTCCAGAACATTTCAGTCAAATCCCCAGACCAAGGAACAAAACCAGAAGGGACTCAGGAGAAATGGTGATTGATCGATTGATTTAATAACTGACCAATTACCAAGAAGAGTACAATGGAGTGGAGCTTGTGAATTGCATCCAGGTGACAAGGAGAAGTATGGTGTCCATTCAGGCGCTGGGAGCAGCCTGAGACCCATAGTTGCCAAGACTAGTTGTCAGTTCCAGCCATTGCTGCCCTTTGCAGATACTCTTGCGTTTTCAGAAGTCAGATGTATAGATTTCCATGTGGAAACTCTCAAATGTTAAAGCTCAACTTGAAATATTTTAAAGGGGGTCTGTTCTGGGAGAATGTGAGGGTCTAGAACCACCAGACTGCGTCCTCTGGCTCAGGCTCGGCTGAGGACTGTTGTGTTCATTAAGGACCTAAGAAAAGTCATCTGACTCCTTTGGTGCTCACATTGCTCTGTGTATGATTATCTTATCCAAATTTGAGCTATCCAGCCATCTATTTTCCCCCCAGTAAAGTAGCTAAGAGT